TCTTTCTTTCTTTCTTTCTTTCTTTCTTTCTTTCTTTCTTTCTTTCTTTCTTTCTCTTTTTGAGACAGTGCAGTTCAGGCCAGCCTTGAGTTCACCTTGTAGCCCAGGCTGGTCTTGAACTCGAAAGAATCCTCCTGCCTCAGCCTCTTGAGTGCTGGGATTACAGGCGTGTACCACCACAGCCGGCTAATTGTTTCACTTTCTATAAAGGTTTTTGGTTGGCTGTTGTTGATAAATTGTCCATGTTTGCTTCCCACATTTGAACATTATGGATTCCACGAGGGCAGTAACTGTCCTGTCCTGTGTTAAAATGCCAGCAATCTAGCCAGGTGTAGGGTGCATGCCTGTAATCTCAGCACTCAAGAGGCTGAGGCAGGAGGATTTCTGGGAGTTTGAGGCCAACTTGGGATGCATAGTAAGTTCAAGGCAAGCCTGAACTACACAGTAAGACTGTCTCAAAAAAACAGAAATGCCAAGAATTATGTATATACTATATATACACACACACCCCCACACCCCCCCATATATATATATACATATATATACATATATATACATATATATATATATATATATTCATTTTTGGTGATAAAAGATAAGAAAGTGACATTTATTCAGTCCTAGAACCCTTCCTCTGATTTACACTTAGAGTCACAGGTTTGGTAACGTCACCAAATCAGGGAGGAACAAACTCCAGGAGAGTAGGAAAAAAAAACAATGTCTTGAGCAGTTGTAAGTGGGTTGGAATTTCAATACTATCACCTACTAGGTGTGTAAACTTGAACCTGATTCTTCATCTATAAAATAGGGACAATAATACCTTGCCATAGATCTGTTTTGAGGATTAAATGAAATTAACTATATAGAGTGTCAAACTACTTCGAATTTCCAGAATATGCCACTCTGTTTACTGCTCCCAAATCTGTTCCTAGAACCCTGCACCTGGAATAATCAATCATTTCTCTTGTTATCCATACCTTGTTTCTCCAGTTACTTGGCAATTTCCTGGCCTTTCATAAATACCGAGCTCAAGCACTAATTTATTTGCAAAGGTTCGCTTGGCCTAGTAAATGATAGATAGATAAGGTTACTTAATGTTGAATGAATGAACATCTGGACCCCAGTAAGTGCTAAGTATGTTTGCTTTTTTATCACTATCCCCTTTTCTGTTTAATCCTAACAAATCTCTCCCTAAGTGACCTGTTAAATGCTGCTCCTTTTTCTTCTTAAAACCTTGAAATGTCAACTGTATAGGGATATATAACTCCCCTGTTAGGAAAAGTAGAGTGCATAATTGCTAACAATGATACAGTCTACCAAAAAAGCAACAGACAGCTTACTCCAAATGTAAAAAAAGAGGGAATATACTTTGCAGGAGTCATTTGTGAAAAATTACTTGGCAATATGCAGTCAAACTAAATAAGAAATCAATAAAAAATTAAGGATGGAGATTTTGCAGTGAACCTATCTATTTAAATGTAGAACTGAGGCAAAACAACAGGATTGATAAGAAACTGTGGAGTACAGTACCTCAGTGAGAGGATGTTACAGGCTGTTAGAAGATATGGGTAACTTGGGGAGGGTCTCAGAAAGCTGGAATTCCATCTAACTCAGATGTCCTCAGAAACTAGGGGCATTTGTGTGATTGTACATCTCAGTAATTCTTATATATAGGGACCACAATAGCATTGACCTATCTTGACTGAGAGAGGGGACATTTGGTGTTTTCTCAGTGGCATGGTGACCTTGTTTTTGTCTGTGTTTAAAGTGTCTTG